TGTCTTTTTCTCTATATCTCTCTCTAGTTTCATTGGCTCTTTCTCTCATCTCTTCTTCTTCTCTCTCTCTCTCTCCTCTCCTTCCTGTCTCTCTCTCCTCTCCTTCCTCTCTCTCTCTCCTCGTCTCCTTGGATTACTCGGTGCGTCAGGTCACCCGGAACCAATCATAGGTACTGAAGGCCTCGCGGCGCCTCGAACGCTAAAACAAAATCCACAAATCTTGCGTCACTTCCCCGTCCGCACCGTAAAGGGTAAAGCTACGGGGAACCAGCAATTAGAAAACGTGACCTAAAGCGAGGCTGAGATGACTGAGATTCGGTCACGAGAAAGCGCTTCGCGTGATGATTGGTCACGGAAAAGCCCCGATTAGAGAGAGGGGTGAAGGTCATGAGTATTGACCTATCGTGGGAGGTCATGAGTGTTGACCTATCGTGAGTTTTGACCCCCCATCTCGGGGCCTATACACGGGGAAGGGATACACTTTAATTCCCGCCTTTTCCGGTTGATAGCGGCGGCTCCAGCTTCCCATTGAAGGGGGTCCTTCGTTATATATCGTCTTCTTAATACCTGGGTATGCAGCCCTAGGTTGCTATATGTGATTCCCACTACTGTTAGTTTTTATTATATAAATGTAATTAGAAATACATTTTAATTGATTGAAATGTGATTTTTGTGTATATTTGTGTTCCTCGTTTCTTGTATTGTCCTGAAGATGTCATATTATTCACGAGGCGTTGTTATACAATGGAAGGACTTAGTGGTCTAGTGTTTCTTCAGCCTTTAAAACAGTTTGTGAACCTGGGTTCACCGGTGTCCTAGGGTTCCAAGAGAGGCCCCTGAGGGTTCCAAGAGAGGCCCCTGAGGGTTCCACGAGACATGAAAGTTAAGTCAAGGGTTCCAAGAGAGGCCCCTGAGGGTTCCACGAGACATGAAAGTTAAGTCAAGGGTTCCAAAAGGGGTTAAATGGTTTAAGAAACGTTGCTATAGAACCTAAACGGTGGTATACATTGCGTAAAATGTAAAATATCCATAAAAAAAATAGCATTTGTAATAATGAAATTGTGTTCGGTTCTGTGAACATCTATCTATCTATCTATCTATCTATCTATCTATCTATCTATCTATCTATCTATCTATCTATCTATCTATCTAGTGCTCCCTTTCAGGGGGAGCATTACCCCAATAACACGCCTTCATGAAGTCTGTGGATTCGAAATGTTCTGCCTCGAGTCCATAGACTTTACCATTATTTAAAATAAAAGGTAATTCAGATATTTACTTTCAAAACGTATGTTCAGGTGATTTACATTCTGGGTGTAAACTTTAGTTTATACTGACGAGGGAAGGGTGAGTCTGTGGGGGGGGGGAGGCAGGGAGAGTGTTTGATTCTTAGTGTTATCCATTCTGTTAGAAGAGGAGTATTACTCAGCCCGTGAATGAAGCAAGTTCATCTTGTGAGGATGTGAGTAAATCCGTGTTGCTCATACTTTGAGCTTTTGAGTAAAAAAAACATTGTTCAGACTGTGTGTATTAATTCGCCTTATCTGGAACACACGAAGCCTTTATGTAAGCTTCTGTTGCAGCTCGTCCTCATTAATAAAGTCTGTTATCATAAATAAAGCCTGTTATCATAAATATAGCCTGTTCTCATAAACAAGACCCGTCCTCACTCATAAACAAAGGCCCATCCTTATAAACAAAGTCCAAATACTAGCTAATCAAGCCGCCAAACCCTTTCTTTATTAATGTAAAACACTTCACACACAACTCATGACAATCGAATTTGTTTTCGAACATTGCTTCGCTCTGTTCCTATGTTCGAATTGCATCTCTATAAATACGTCATAAAAGTACTACAAATACCAACAATTGTCAAACGAACTTAAGCCCCCTAACCTGCCGTAAGTTAGAGCTAACCTAACCTAACTTAGACCTAACTATTGACCAAATTCTAATTGATAATAATATTAATATATATTTGGGGAAAATTCCGAGTGTAAATAGATGGAATATTATAATTGATGACTGAGTCTATTGGGTCGGGCGTATTTACAACCATGTAAAAAAATAATAATATTAATTTTCATCTGAGGGGGGAAATATTTTGTTTATAAACAAAGTTAAGTTTTAAGAACTCGTTAATGCGTTCGGCCGCCGCTTAGACAAGCCTAGCTTGAGTAGAGGCTGCCTATTGAGAGCTTTAGTAGGTCGAATTACTGACGTTCCTCTTGATGCAACCCATAGCTCTTGGTCAACTCTTCGGTACCTAGGTACTGCTAGGTGAACAGAGGCTCCAGGTGAGAGAAAGCGCTGCCCAGTAATTTATCTTCCACCTGGGGATTGAACCCAGGATCCTAAGATTATTAGTTGGAAACGTAGCCCACTATATTATGAATGTTTCTCATCCTGTATATGAACCAAAGTTTCCCATCCGTGATCTTAAAATTGCCTTCAACTGATGTTTTCTTAAAAAACATAATTTTTAAGGAAATAATTGTACAATAAGACTAAAGTTTCCAGTCATGAGGTCTCGTCATATTTATTCTCCAGGGCAGGTCAGAAAGGACAGAAGAAAAAGAGATTTCATTACAAATTTTTATTTAAATGTCCAAAATTGTACAATAATTTAGTGTAATATATTGTTGTCAGCGTTTAAAAAAACATGCATTTGACAGATCTACCAAGTACAGTCAGTATATATATATATATATATATATATATATATATATATATATATATATATATATATATATATATATATATATATATGTTATGTTTATTTATAACTAAAAACTCGTGCACTTGTGGAATAATTTCTCAAATAGGAGAAGTTCTTATTTCTTTCTCACCTCTGAAATTTTGTATCCAAAATTTTGATAATACAAATTTAAATGATTTACAATTATTCTAATTTTTTTTCAGATTTACACAAAATGCAAACTTGGCAATTTAATCAATATCTTATTCAATATTTAATATTTTTAAGTAATGCTTCATTTTAATTTAGTATTTATAGCAAAAAAAAACATTATTAGATTATATTTGGAGAAATTAATTTTTGTTTCAATTTTACAACATTTTTTTTATACATGTCCTATTTGGCATATATATATATATATATATATATATATATATATATATATATATATATATATATATATATATATATATATATATATATTTATATATATATATATAAATATATAATCGACTTAACATCACAAAAAGCAAGTTGACTTATTTTAATGACAAAATAGTTAAAATGAACAACAAATTTCTAATGTTAGCTAATTTTCAGAATTGCTAATTGAAAGTACTCAAAGTATTCCTTAAATAACACATGTAAGATGCCAAACTTTACGAAACTGTAACTTAAACATATTTCTACGTCACCTAAAGTTAGTTGTGTATGATGATACGTCCACCAGATGATTAAGTATACCAGATGATATACATCAGATGATGTACATCTGATGCTAAACATCATATGTCATACATGTATTCATTAGATGAAGTATTAAGATTACCTACACTATATCTAAGATAATTTTAAGGGAAGAATTGTTAAGGTTTTCTGATCATTAATGTATGATCAATCTAAAGGTCTGCTTAACTGTAGGGGAAAGTTAGTCAGTTTATTTTTGAACAGTTAGTTGATGCATATAATATATTAATTTGAAAAGAAAGGATTTATGGACAAAATGTAACAGGGGGAATTTTATAAGGATTTGTACCAATTGTTCTCTCGTGTGTGTGCCTATTAATCTCACTTTTGTGCCTATTATTCACACTCTTGCATCTATTATTTACCCTTTTCTTTTTATTAATCTTACTATTGTGCCTATTCTCACTTTTGTTCGTATAATCTTCTCTCTTTTATGCCTATCGTTCTCTCTCTTTTTTGTGCCTCACTTTCATACATATTTTATCCAAACTTTCATACTTTTTTATCCAAACTTTCATACTTTTTTATCCTCACTTTCATACCAATTATCCTCTCTCTCTCTCTCTCTCTCTCTCTCTCTCTCTCTCTCTCCTCTCTCTCTCTCTCTCTCTCTCTCTCTCTCTCTCTCTCTCTCTCTCTCTCTCTCTCTCTCTCTCTCTCTATATATATATATATATATATATATATATATATATATATATATATATATATAATATATATATATATATATATATATATATATATATATATATATATATTACCAATGTTTTCATCACTGACTGCCCTGTAGGTCACCTCTACTCACTGAATCTGCTTTCTGGTCACAATTCAATAGGCCTATATTATTCGAAATTGGGACAAAAATAGGCCATAATGGCTTAAACATCAGTGGGCGAGACTACAGAATTCACAAGGTATTTGATATCACATGATAACACACAAAGGTGTTTGATAACACATGACCAATTATATAAAAAATAAGAATGGCAAGATTTACCTGAGCAGAGAATGCCTACAGGGCCTCACTGATGAAACTCATGTATATATATTCTAATTAACTCTAAATAAATATTCAGGAAGATTAGATAAGGAACATCTATAGCAATATCTATGAACTAACTATATCCATGCTTGATTAGGACAAATCTGACTTATGTGTTAATTAATATACATTTTGATGTTCAGTAATTAAGATAAGATAAGGATAAGATTTACATGATAGGAGGAAGAAGGAGAAGAAGGAACAGCATTCTGAGACGCAGAGAAGGATGTCAGTTGAGGAAGATGTCACAAGTCGAGTGGGTAGTGAAGTCACAGGCCAGGCTTGTGAGGAAGTCCCTTTTCTAACGGATTCCGTTGCGAGGAAGTCCCCTCTCTAACGGATTCCGTTATGAGGAAGTCCCCTCTCTAACGGATTCCGTTGCGAGGAAGTCACCTCTCTAACGGATTCCGTTGCGAGGAAGTCCCTTCTCTAACGGATTCCGCTGTAAGGCAGTCACCTCTCTAAGGATACCACTTCAGCCACCGGGTCACAGGTTTAAACGTTAGTCCTTACCTGCCCTGGGCTATCAGCACTTGTAATGGTAGCGTCGAAGGAGGCCGAGACAGGGGGCGCTGGGGGGAAGACAGACTTAAGAATATCTTCCGGAGATGCTGGGGGTCCGACGACCCCCTTTGGGGGTGGTGCTGGGGCCCTAACCTCCAAAATAGACCCTGGTTCAGGGGTGTGGTTCGGGATATCCAACGGAGGCCCCAAAGGCCCTTGGAGTTCGGCTAGGAAGTTGTTATGTCGCCGGAAGGCGATAGTGGTCTTCTTATCGTTGTTGAAGAGGGTCTTCTTCAGGATGTAGACCTGAGTGCCGTCTTTCAGGCTGCTGGCACTCTCAACGGGAACCCCGTTCACAAACAGATTACCTGTTGGGAAAACAAAAACAATATATAACAATTCGGGCACTTCATGTGTGGCATTCAGTGATTGATGAGTGGTTCAGTAATTACAAAACCGACCCGTCTTATCTACTCCCAAATCATTTACAGCTGTAAGAAATCATTTATCAAAATCATGAAGTTATAAATGCACAAAACAATCTTTTTAAGGATAAATAATTTACATTTCAGTAATGGCTATTTAGCATTCCAATAGAATTCCATTTTTAGCACTACAAAAATCCGCAATAAAAACTATAAATGTTCCCCCACGTAATTGAAAGAATCACTTGAACACACATAAATGTCAGTTTTAATTCATTTAATTGCAACATGAAATCATTATATCTATACATGAAATGTATAATATCCTTCACTGTCTCAAATAACCATTCTCGGTTTAAGAATTAAGATGGACATGAATAAGCTGTATGTGCGTGTGGAAACATACATATTGAAACATATGGAAACAGACATACAGTATATGTGGGGGATATATATACGCAGTTACATATACAATGGACGCGTGGCAACATACTCATTGCCATATGTAGACGAGGAATCACAATAACGTGGCTGAAATATGTTGACCAAACCACACACTAGAAATTGAAAGTACGACGACGTTTCGGTCCGTCCTGGACCATTCTCGAGTCGATTAGTAAAGCACAATCGACTTGAGAATAATCCAGGACGGACCGAAACATCGTCGTCATCCCTTCCCCTTCAAGTGTGTGGTCTGGTCAACATACCCATTTTCATTTTGATGTATAGGAATACACACAATAACTTTGAGAATAACTCACCGCCTTGGTCCTTAGTAACGTTGACAATCTTGCCAGAAAAGGTGGTGATAGCGACGCCTCCAGCCTCATCTAGACGGGAATCTGTCGGTTCCAGCGGCTCGAGAACGAGGTGGTCGAGTAGGAACTCACGTCGAAGGTTGGTTAGGCTCGTGGTGTTACCATAGAGAGGATGGGCCGCGTCCTGGTGAACCAACCCGGCCAGAATCTGTGTTTCTGGCGCCAGAATGGTCTTCGCCTCTGTGGAAACCCAAGATAGCGATATTAGTTCTTGTTGATATCACGTTGGTTGGTAGTGGGTGGTCGACGATAGCATGTCGATTGGTAAAGTGCAGTCGACGATGTTATGTCGATTGGTAAAGTGCAATCGACGATATCATGTCGATTGGTAAAGTTCAGTCGACGATGTTATGTCGATTGGTAGAGTTCAGTCGACGATATCATGTCGATTGGTAAATTTCAATCGACGATATCATGCCGATTGGTAAAGTGCAATCGACGATATCATGTCGATTCCTAAATACCAATCGACAATATCATGTCGAAAGGTAACGGGCGATCGACGATATTATGTCGATTCCAAATTGTTGATCGACAATGTCGATATCGATGGCCAATGGGTGATCGACGATATGTCGATTGCTATTAGGCTGTCAACGATATCAAGTCGATTTTAAACGGCCGATCGACAATATCACATCGCTTGTTAGATAGCCTACGAGAAGTGACCCTTTAGCCTTGAGATACACATATTTCTTCTAGCAGGAAATGGTAGTGTCATTTCCTTATGGTCTCGACCAAATTATAATTTTTAATGAAAGAAAAAATAAAGATCTTGAAGCTAGAGATAAAGGATCTACAAGACATTATACAAGCGTGAAATTACTTTTAAGATAGATGACTGAGATGATGTTATTAATGTAATTATTAAGGATAGAGGGGATAGCTATTGAGAATCCGTGAGCCCATTGGATAGGGAGGAAACCACGAACTACCTGTCCGTCCTGAGGCCACTAGCCTGCCTATCCCGCCAGGTGAAAATACCTTCTCTGATAACAGGTTGTATACAAGGTGTACAGGTAACTGATTATTCTGTGAACCCGGTGGATGGTGTCTGGGTCCCTGATGAAGGTCTCTCTCTCTCTCTCTCTCTCTCTCTCTCTCTCTCTCTCTCTCTCTCTCTCTCTCTCTCTCTCTCTCTCTCTCTCTCTCTCTCTCTCTCTCTCTGTCTCTCTCTCTCTCTCTCTCTCTCTCTCTCTCTCTCTCTCTCTCTCTCTCTCTCTCTCTCTCTCTCTCTCTCTCTCTCTCTCTCTCTCTCTCTCTCTCCTCTCTCTCTCTCTCTCTCTCTCTCTCTCTCTCTCTCTCTCTCTCTCTCTCTCTCTCTCTCTCTCTCTCTTCTGTCTCTCTCTCTCTCTCTCTCTCTCTCTCTCTCTCTCTCTCTCTCTCTCTCTCTCTCTCCTCTCTCTCTCTCTCTCTCTCTCTCTCTCTCTCTCTCTCTCTCCGATACTGTGTGACTGTCCACTTTAATAACTACCAACCGATATCAATCACCAAAACTATTACAACCAAATCAAATCCACAATCAACCACAATCGACTTGATAATAGACGGACCGAAACGTCGTCGTCTCTTCACTTTCTAGTGTGTGGTCTGGTCAACAACCACATCTACTCAATCATACAAGATCACAACCACAGTTACAACCCTTAAAATCCCAACCATGCACACAGCTGCCAGCCAGCAGTAGATATGTTATCTCTCAACATCACGAATTATAGTTAATTCCCAAACATAAAACAAATGAATGAAATTTTCCACTGAACGTTGTATTGTCGGGGTCAGGGAAGCAGTAAAAGGCTTGCATAATGCCTTTTTATAATATATTTTCGTTTTTATGCAATAATTGATGCAAATTTTACCATTGCAACTATGATCTTAGATCTTTGCTAACTCCACAGAATACAATGCATCCTTTTCCCCCTCTTGCTTAAGCAGAATACATTGTATTTCCTTTTGTTTATTAATTCAGGAACAGTTGTGTAGAATGAATCAACTATTGTCATTATATATATATGTATATATGATTTATTTGCGTAAATAGTGGTGGATAATGCTTATCTGTTTACAAAATTAGTGTAGATTATCTGGGTGGAGTTGAAGGGGCGTGGATGAGGATTTCTTAAGGGAACGACCCAAGGTTATGAAAACATTTCGTAACTAAAATAGGATCTTGTGGTGGATGGGGAAGTTACCCAATAATTCTTCCCGGTTTCTCTCTTGAGTGATTTACGATGCGTTAATTCATCTAATTGTACTCTCTCTTTGTTGTTTGAGAAGTGCGGGTCAGAACGCATGTTTTACAAACACCACGCACGCACGCACGCGCACACACACACACGCACACACACACACACACACACACACACACACACACACACACACACACACACACACACACACACACACACACACACATGAGCCCGATAGGCTCAGGAATCTGTACACCTGTTGATTGACGGTTGAGAGGCGGGACCAAAGAGCCAGAGCTCAACCCCCGCAAACACAACTAGGTGAGTACACACACACACACACGCACGCACACAGGTACCCATAACCTTAATGGAGATAATTGACAGGATAATGAGGCGACACAGATGGAAAACACAGCCACATATGAGGCCATATATATATATAAGGCAATACCTGACTGCAGTCAGAGCGGTAAGAAGTGGAAGGAGCTCGAACCACAGACGATAAAATCACCCGTTGTAACCACTTCAAGAATAAGTATGACAATTTACGACATTTTATTTTCTTGTTCCTAAATAGTAAATGTTATATCCTGATTGCTTACGCCTCCAATGTATATAGGAAACTGTTATTATTGCCTAATCACTTGAGATGGACGGTAGAGCGACGGTCTCACTTCATGCAGGTCGGTGTTCAATCCCCGATCGGTCATAAGTGGTTGGGGCACTATTCCTTTCCCCCGTTCCATTCCAAATCGTTATCCTGACCCCTTCCTAGTGCTATCTAGTCGTAATGGTTTGGCGCTTTCCCCCTGATAGTTCCCTTCCCTTCCCAAACTTTGAGTTGATCTGTATCTCAGTCGAGTAGATACCTTGCCTTGTAGAAAACACCTTGTAGAAACCTGAAAGCTGAAGACTCTGAGCTAAAGCTTTTGAAGGCAGCTTCCAGGTGCCTTCAAGACGGCTTCCCTAAGCTGTCTAAGGAAAAGGTCAAAGCAACGTTTGAGATAATTAATCATTTTCACTACTTTCAAGGCATAAGTATTCAGGAAATAGCACTAACTCCCTAAGAACAAAAATTGTGTTGCATTATATTCTCAGCTTCCTGACAGGAACCGAGGACGCAGCAGGAGTTCATATTAAGATCATCTTGAGATGATTTCGGGGCTTTAGTGTCCCCGCGGCCCGGTCCTCAACTAGGCCTCCACCCCCAGGAAGCAGCAGCCCGTGACAGCTGACTAACTCCCAGGTACCTATTTACTGCTAGGTAACAGGGGCATCAGGGAAAGAAACTCTGCTCATTGTTTCTCGCCGGCGCCCGGGATCGAACCCGAGACCACAGGATCACGCGTCCAGTGTTCTGTCCGCTCAGCCACCGGCTCATTGCGGCTGTAAGTTTACAAGAGGGCATGTAGAATCCTTAGACAACACCGGACTCTGTTGGGATCGAACTGTCGAAAACTTCAAGGCGTTCCGTTTGGTGTATTGAGAGTTCCTCCCAAGCCCCTGTTACCTAGCAGTAAAATAGGTACCAGGGAGTTAGTCAGCTGTCACGGGCTGCTTCCTGGGGATGGAGGCCTGGTCGAGGACCGGACCGCGGGGACACTAAAGCCCCGAAATCATCTCAAGATAAGCAAGTTGGTCATCTTCTACTCTTGTAGTCCATAGTCAACAGTTCCTTCTATTCACCGTTCGAGTTACGTTTCTAAACATTTTATCATTCAAGAATCTTTCTTCCATTTTGTGGGTCACAAGAGAGAAAATAAAGTTGAGTTTGAGTAGTGGAACAAGAAGAATACAACTGGTAATGAATATGAAGGAACAGAGGAGAAACGGAGAGACAGAGTTATCAAGAGGAAAGCGCCAAGCCATTACGACTATATAGCACAGGGAAGGGGTCAGGATACGAATTTGAGATGGAACGGTGGAAAGGAATGGTGTCCAACCACTTATGGACGGTCGTGGATTGAACGCCGACTTACGTGAAGCGAGTCCGTCGCTCTACCGTCCACCCCAAGTGGTTGGACACCAGGAGAAACGAATAAACAGCAAAAGGAGAAGTATTGGTGGATTGCAAAGTGGAGGACACTGAGTGGCAATGTTGCAAGAACCAGACTGGGGGGGGGATTTCGTAATTATATCATTATCAATTACTAAATTGATTGGCGTTCAAGGCTGTCAACTTCTGTGGGAGTGTTACAGTTTTTTATATTCCTGGTGTCCCCTCCCCCCTTATCTCCCTGACCCCCCTCTTACCCCCCCCTTACTAAAAATATATTGAAGCTTTCTATAATGATTCTTCACAGATATTATAAATAATATATTATACAAAATACATAATATATAATGCAAAAATATATATATTTTTAACTTTTATTGTCAAATTTGTATTTGGGAAATGGCGATTGACTTCTACTCCACATTCTCCTTAATACTTAATAATACTTTATTATTTATTTATTTATTTATGCATATACAAGAATGTACATAAGGAATGTGAGGATACAAATATGGTAATTACAGTCTTGTAAAGCCACTAGCACGCGCAGCGTTTCGGGCAGGAAATAATACTTAATAATACTTAATAATCTCCTATACTTAATACTTTATACCACTCTCTCTTAATACTTACTTACGACTCCAATCATAAAAAAAGTGGTTCTACACATCTGTCAGTCATTTGAGTGTAGTTCCCACTCTTTGTCATCTCTTTTACCATTTTACACATTGTCTCTGTGTCCACTCGTTTTTTCTTAGTATTTTGGATCTTGTTACCATATCTCCCTTCTGGGTTATTCCAGACAAAAAAAGATAAGTTCCTCAGTAATTTGTTTTTTAAGGTTTTAGGGATATCATTTAAGGTTTTAGGAATCTTTTTTAAGGTTTCAGGAATCTTTTTTAAGGTTTCAGGAATCTTTTTAAGGTTTCAGGAATCTTTTTTAAGGTTTCAGGAATCTTTTTTAAGGTATTAGGAATCTTTTTTAAGGTTTC